CGATCAGTTGGAGATGACGGCGTGGTTACCTACCCCACAAGGGGTTCTCGAGCCTTTCCTCGCGATGCACCGATAACCTCCCTCAAGATCGTCCCCGAGCCTGTTCCACGTTTCTACGGGCAGCAGGACACCACGGCGTACTTCCCTCAGGGGAGATGGCCGCCGTGGAATGGCGTTTTTGTCACATGTCCGGCGCTATGTGAGGAGAGCCACCCTGGAACCCATGTACTGCAGCGGAATCTTGTATGGAAGTACGAGTTCCTGTGCTCAAGGAGCAAGCTCTTCTCAGGAAGAGGCAGCTTCTGGTGCAACAGCTTCTGGTTCTCAATGTCCTCCAGAACCCGCACAACCTCCCGGTGGCGAAGAAGGCAGCAAAGGAGGCAAGTCCTCCAAAGGGAAAGGCAAGGAATCCTACAAGGGCAAGTCCAAGGGCAAATCCAAGGACAAGTCCAAGGGCAAGAGCAAGGGGAAAAGCTGACTAGGTTCCGATTCGGATGTGGATATGGACGATGGTCTCGACGAAGTTCCTTTGGAACAAAATGAAGACGTTGCTCCTGATCCACAACCTTCGTTGCCTAGATCCCCAGCTGATCCTCGTGGTTACGATCCAGTTCGCCATGCTCCGGTGATGCCGATTCACAGAGTTGCATTTACCGTTGGTCTGGTGAACACCGTGATACGACCTGGGATCGAGACATTGAGTTCGTCGGGCTGAGTGTTTCACGGAAGGCTTCTTTCATAAGAAGGTCTCCATTCTGAGCATTCGTCATTTCATAGGGAGATGCCTTTCTCAGGAAAAGGTACTTCCTAAAGAACTCGTCTTTCAAGAAGATACTTATCTCAGGATAAGATACTTCCAATGCCCTTACAATTTGCCTTGCCGCAAGATGTCATGCTGGCATCAAGTGGAGCTAAGCTCTACACCTTTATCTTGCAGTATGCTTTCCATCTGGAGAGGGAACTGAACACAAGTGGGCAACTTTCAAGCAAACGTTTTAAAGGGAAGATCCGTTTGCGTTTTGTGCGTGTTCTGCTCTTTTCATGAAGCTGTCTCCAGGCTAGAGAATGTATAGTTTCTCTTCAAGTCGCAGATGTAGCTCAATACTCCGCTAATTCGACCGCGAGCGATAACAGGCTAGTAGAATGCCGACTCCACGGCCATGCAGTTCTACGTGTTTTAAATTTGTGCCTGGTTGAAACACTGAATGTTACACATCCAGGTGCCTGTCTGTTTCACGTATCACTTGCATGTATCCATGCCTGTTGCTCAAGGTTCTAGGGCAGTGGACTACAGCTGTGCGCCTGTAGCAAAACAGACATCTGAGTGCCTGTGTTCCGGTACGCCTAGCGAGGGGATACACGTCCAGGTTACATCTCAAGGGGCGGGGGCGGGTTGGAGAGAATGTACAGGCCCAGACATCTATATATATATATATATACATACATATGTACAGCATATATTATATATACATATGTCTGCATGTATGCACGTATGTATGTATGTATGTATGTATCTCTTTCTCTCTCTCTCTCTCTCTTTCTCTCTCTTTCTCTCTCTCTCTCTCTCTCTCTCTCTCTCTCTCTCTCTCTCTCTCGCTCTCGCTCTCTCCTTCCTTCTCTTTCGTTTTGTCGTTCTTTCTGTCATTCCTTTTCTCTCTCTCTCTCTTTCTCACACTGCTTCACTCATTGCATGGTGCGGATGTCTGTGTCATGTCGTAACCGAGGCCCTCAGCACCGCCTCCAAGTTCCGCTCCATCAACGTCGCTCAACAGGCTGACCGAGCGCCCACACTGAGTTTTGCTAGTTCACACTCTAGAGGCACCTTCCTTTTGCTGCGACGGGCGGTAGAGAGCTCCGCAGTCAACAGAGCAGTTCAAGACCCCGGCGCGTCGCCATCAAAGATGGTGGATCGACTGCTTCGGGCATAGCTTCCGCCGCTACTACCAACCAACGCCGGCATGGAATCTCGTGCCTTTCGACGAACACAAAAACCTAGAAGAGAACAAACGAAAAAGCAAAGAGAACAGGTGCGAAATGGAGGGGTCCCTTCGGACGGGCTTAACCCCAAAAATTTGTTGGGCGGCAGCCGGCAGGCCAACAGTCCAGAAAGAACACCTCCCGGGCGTCTCCTAACAAAACTGGCCAACGCGACCACCACCCCAAAATAGGGCTCGCGATCGCCAAGCAGCAACCAACGAGGTAGGCGAGCGAGTTGAGAGCCATTATGGCATATTATGGCAATGCCCCTGATACCAAACACACAGGAGCTGTAAGCTTGAGCCAACCATTCGATCAGCTCATTCACAAAACTTTATGTTATCCCTAACCAGGAAAACAACGCTGACGTGTACTGATAGGATGTGATAGAGGATGCTAGGCCGCTACAGGCTTGGGCTTGGACTAATTATATGCACAAATCTTATTTCCCTTGGCCGAGCACGCACTTGGCCGCAGCCTGTCAGAGGCACCAAGTTCCAAAGTTGACTTGGGTGAAGAAGGCCGTGCAGTGGAGCAACTGGCTCGCTTCGACTATCGGAGAACCATAGGGTGTCACTTTTCGGTTGTGGAAAAGGCCGTGGATTGACTTTTCTGTTTCGGGACAGCTTCGCTTCGGCAACTCAGAAGTGCCAGTACTGCTTCTTGATATTCAGAGTCACAACGAGCAACCAAGTAGCGGGAAACAGGGAGGCCCCACAAGCAAGCGACACTGCGACACTCTTTCTCAGGTGATGGCCATGTTGCTTTGCACTGCCGGCTTCCTGAGCGTGACCTTATTCATCTTGGTGGCACGGCCCCCGAAAAAAAACCTGTAGACACCTGTAAAGGCACCAGCTGCTAGATGCCCTGTTTTCCGCGTGTGCAGAGCTTAAAGACAGAAAGGAACCCCGTTGCATGAGGTGTTTGTGACATGGCGAAGACCTCCGTGACATGCGCGGATTAGTGGATCTCAATACGCATCACCGTGTCCAACTTGGGCAATCCGCCTAACAAACTTCAAACTGTAGGTCCTGAAACCCTGGAACTCGTGAAAATGCTAGATCGTGTCGCAGCGACAGAGCAGACAGACCACAGCAGCTATGGCAAGTTGCAAAGACCTCGCTTCACCGAGGTCTGCTGCCTGTTGGACACAGCTCTCAGCTGGAAACACCGAGCTACGTACTACGCCTGCCGGCAGAAGGCGAAGCTGCAGGATCCATCTCTGCATAGCACTTTAAGTGGCGATGATTGTTTGAGGCGTTGCTTGCAATGCGATAATTATATAATTTTTAAACGCTTCGCGTCGTCCGCCTCGGCCCGGCTGTGCCTGAAGCAGGTGCATTGTTTCGGAAAGCGGCAACCCGGAAGCCTACCCAGGCCCATAGGCCTTAAACCCGAGACTCTAAACCCTATAAACCTTAAGCCTTAAACCCGAAACCCTCAGCCCGCAGCGTATGGGCAGAAAGCGCCGCGGGGCAGGCGCAGAGGGAGCACGGGCAGGCTTCGCGTCGCCCGCCTCGGCCTGGCCACAGACGCACGTGCCGAACTGGCGAAAGTTGCCTTGCCGAAGAAATCTCGAGGCGAGAAGCTTCAGGCCAAAAACAGTCTCAGTGTGCAGCGGAGGACCTTTGCGCAAGTCTTCTGCAGAAAAGCATGGTGCAGGGGGGAGGAAGAAGAGAGGAGCGGGGTTGGGGCGCAAATGCACTCAAAGGTTAGGGGGGGTCGGGGAGGTGGGTCAGGCAGGGTGGGTTGGGGCCACTGCAAAGGGGATTAATAAGAGGTGGGGGGATATTACCTCCTGAAAGATGCACAGAGCCCTGGCCAGGTCCAGCAGGTTCAGGAGGCGCTCATGAAGGGCAAAGAGGACCTCTCCTTGTCGGTGGCCATATCTTGCAACGGACCTTCAGCAAGACAGATCTGTTGAGACTCAGGTGCCCATGTTGCGTGGAAACCACCCAGTCCTGAAGCTCAGAGAGAGCCACTGTCACATATCATTCATCATAAGCAGGATAGTCATGTGCGATTCGCCTCAAGGTATACTCAGCCCCAGAAGAAGGTGAAGTTCATCTGCGGCCATGGATATCACTTGCACTGTGTCAACCGCTGGCCCGAGACCAAATCTCTCCAAATTTGGGTCTCGGGGGGTTTGCCGTGCTGCTGGTGGTTGCCGCAGGTTCCAGGAGCACCCGAATTCTGTTGGCTCCTGCCCGGTCTGTGAGGCGCACTGTCTTTGCACAACGGGCCTTTCTCGACTTCTGCGGCACTCTGCAGGGGGAGGCTGCTGGAGGTGATATGCCCAGGGACGAGGCAGGGCAGAACATAGCGAGCAAAGGCGGGCATAGAAGCGGTCAGACCGCTGCAGGCCCAGACCTTCATCCTGCATAGCCTGCACAGGCGCCTCCCTGTGCGGTGTCGCAGTGCTGTGAGCCTTGCAAAGCCGACTTGAGCGGCTGCAGGCGCTTTCCGACCATCATCACCAAGGCCAGGACCACAGGACCACAGCCAGGCGCTGGCAGCTTTTGCCTTCTGCAAGGAGTGCATGGACAGCTGGGAGGGCTGCAATGCTGAGCTCTGGCTCACCGTGCTCAAATGCCCCAGGCCACTCTGCAACGCCAACGCCCTCATGAAGCCAAGCCCGCCAAGCCAGGTACAGCTCTCTCTTCAGTAAGGTCTTCGCGCGAGAGTGAGGGCAGCCTGCAGCCTCCAAGCATATTTGCAACAGGGGAAGAGAGGACACCGGGAAGAAGTATACTACACCTCAGGCGAAAACCTGAGAGCCTAGAAGCCTAGAAATGCAAATTTGGTATATCTGTGCCAGTGAGTAGCTTTGACACGCAAGCATCTCAAGCATCTGCAGACGCGATCGGCAAGACTTCGCAAAGACTGGAGAGCTGCAGGGGCTGGCGGGGCCTGGTGGAGCGGAGCTTTGTGTTTGGCAAATGTGCGGGGCCCCCAAGCGCTGCACGGCTGCACTGGCTCGAGCTTGCCCGCTAAAAGCGACGGCGAGGGTTCTCGCCGTCGCGATGGCCCATGATGGCTCAGGCAGCCCAGGCACAGGCCCGGAGGATTCTTGGGCTGGTCTTTGAGATCGAGCGCGCTGCCGCTGCCGGCACAGCTAACCCAGCTAGCCCGGCCCAACTCCACCGCACTCCGAGCTCCAAAAGGAGGCAGCTTCTTCCTCTTTCGAAGGTCCGCGAGGCTCAAGAGGTGACCGTGTCAGGCGGGGCACAGCACGGGCAGCAGGGGCAGCAGGAGCAGGGCGGAGGCGGAGGCAAGCTTGAGTACTGTGCGGGCTTCTTCGATGGACTGGGCCACGTCTTCGAGGACGGGCCTAGCTACCGGCTGGAGCTCACGCTGCCCTGGGAGCAGCGCGAGGCAACGTTGCTCCATGAGTTTGTGAGCTGAACCTCGGGACATGTCGCATGTGCTGGGGTTCTCCGACTCTGACAGGTGCGACATGAGTTTGTGAGCTGCAGCTTGACACATGTGGTTTGTGCTCGGGGCATTTTGCCGTAGCATACGGAGCCATGGCGAGTGACGAGAATCCCGTGTCTCCCGACACCGGCGGAGGCTGAGACTGAGACTGCTACCCAGCTGGACTCTTACAAGGATCCACAGCCGGGACGCTTCCAGGATCGCCGGACGGAGTCTCTCCATGGCGCAAGCTTTGAGTCCTGCAGCAGGCAGTGCAACAAGGATGCGACCATTCCGCTATGAGCTATCGTCGGGGGACAAAATCTTTGTCGCATGAGCTATCGTCGGGGGGCAGAGTCTTTGTCGCATGTCTTGTTGTCTCATGCCCCAGAAGCTTGTCGCATACGTTCAAGATTCAAGACCTTGAAACTCTAGAATATTCCCTAGCAGGTAGTTCTCTGCTTGTATGTGACTTGTCTCGAGACACCGTGCGGTCGTGTTGGCCATATGGAGTTTTGAGTTCGGCTAGCTGGGGCGATCGCCTTCACAGCCTCAAGCCAGGGACCAGAAGTGGTACTTACTGGAACACCTGCGAACCGCTGCAGGAGCCCAGGAACCGGAACAGGAGATTGGATTGGTGCATGTGTCTATGGGACATGCTGTATACGGTTGGAAAAAGCTCCTCAGAGTGGGCATCCAGTGACTGTGCAACGCTAGATCCGTTACAAGAAAAATTCCCAGTGGCTGCCCATAGTGTACATCACGGCTTCGGAAGCGCAGGCCTTGTTGTTGGAAGGCTACTTGTACGTGCATGCCTTCCTGTGGGTGTACGATCCTTCCATGGGCACAGCATCGGCAGCGACGTGCGCTCAAACTCAAGGCAACGAGATCTACACGCGGGACGCGGCTGATCAGCTGCTGCATGTCCTGCATGCTGCCAGCCAGAAAAGTGTCGCAGTGTGGCTCGAGATCAACTGGCTGCAAGAAGGAATGCACTCCGAAGGCTGAAGCTTGTGGATCCCAGGGTTATTGGAACCAACGAAGACTTCAACAGGTCACTATACTGTAGATCTCTAAGACTTTAAGACATCTGGAAGCCTAGAAGCCTTCATGTTGCCAGATCGTCGGATCAGGCCTGCTCGGTCCTCAGAGCAACGCTCTCCCGTCGTGTTTGCACTGTACAGCACGGGACAGCGACAGCGACACTAAAAACAGGGGGCAGCCGTGCCTCTTTCACACCACAGCATTTGCACCTGCAGCCGTCACGAAGATCTTCCCATCTTCACTAAACATGCCGCAGGCGCTGCAGCTCTTCCAACAGCTCTTCAGCGGCACGGGGCCCAGCCCGAAAAGCGTTTCCTCTCTGTTTTGTCGACTTCGCGCAGGCAGTATCGTGCCCAGCGAGGCTGTCGGGGCCAGGCGCCTGGAGGAGAGAGCAGGAGCTCACCGGCTCACCCGGGCTCACCGTGGGAACCTAAAATGGACTTTGCGGGGAGAGCCGGGCCGGCGCGCTGCCTCGGCGCTCGCGGCCCAGGCAGTTCTCAAGCAGCACTTCGGCAGCAGAGAGGAACATCCAGGGAAGGCTCATAAGGCTCCCTCTACAGTCTAGACCATGTGACTATGTGAGCTCGTTTCCACGAGGCCGCAGCTTTTGCTGGCAGCCCATTCCTTTTCGTTTCCACGGCGTCCACGAACAGCCTTGCAAGATTGCAAGTGGATGGGCCCTTTCTCCCGAGCCGGGATGGCGGCGGGGGGGATCACTTGGCCCTACGTGGCAGGGCTCTTCGATGCCGTGGGCCATATCAGGCCGAACAGCAGCGAGCCGAGGAAGCTGGTGTTTTTGGAGTTTTCGGAGAAATCTCATCGCTTTTTGGAGATCTTGGAAAGCTTCTTCAATGCTCAGCTCTCGCCCGGCGGCTGGCGCTCGGATGTCTCAGTAAGGCACTTCCACCGTCTCAGCCGTCTTTCTCTGGTCGACTCCATTGCCCAAACGACGCTGCGGCAGCTGCTGCGAGTTGGCTTGACACTTGGCACCGTTTGTTTTGTTCGGCCTGACTCTGACTACGCTCTTCGTGAGGATGTCACCCCTGCCCAATCTCAGGAGCGTGCGGAAGGAGGCCGCGCAGCTCGCCCTCTCTCCGTTCCTTTGTAAGATTTCGAAGCTTCCCCAGCTCCGGCTGATCCTGGCCGCGCAGCGATGCTTCGTGGATGACTGCGGCTTCGGACGTCGAAGACTCGCTCCTCTGAGTCAGAGCTTCGAGAAGCACGAGGAGGCCTCTTGCCGGCAACGCGACGTGGCAGATGCTCGCCATGCCATGCAGCTGCTCCGCCTGGCTTGCGAAAGCTTCCGTGACTTCCGTGAAAGATCCGAGATCAGGCAGGAAAAGGGATGTAGTTAGCTGTGACTTGCTCGGGCCCACAGGGCGAAAACCGCAGCCCCCCTCTAAAAAAAACAGAAGCAACAACATCCCCAAGCGTAGAACCAATATGATAAATCATCGTCGTCATCATCGTTGTCATCATCACCATCACCCCTATCGTCATGGGATTCGTCGTGATGTCACAAACCCTTAATCCGAACACCCTGCAACACCCCAAGGCTGAACAAAGTCAGGAGCGTGAAGACAACAAGCAGCACGCAAACGTCCCAAAGTCCGACATATTAAAGCAATCTGCATGCTGTGCCGCTGTGCCTGTCAGGGTCACTGCAACTCCGAGACATGGAGTTGGAGCACAGTGAGGCCACTGAGGCACTGTGCCTGTGTGCCTGCACCACCTTTGCCCATGTCTTAGCAGAACCGTCTCGGACTCGCAGGCCTGTGGAAAAGACCATGCCACCTCCATGCAGGCAAACGTTTGCCTCTGTCTCAAGCTGCGACGAGCTGGCAGGGGGCAGCCGTTGTGCCGTTGCAGTCTCGCAGGCATTCGCAGACCACCGTTGAGGCCGTAGCAGTCTGGTCTGGGATGAGGCGGCGGTCTTGGCGATCTTGGCAGTCGTGTCGGCATGGATGTTGGGAAACTACCGGTGCAGTGACTTTCTGATTGCACAAAGCCCTGTAGTATCCTGGGCTCAAAGCAGTTGGGGGAGGGTTGTTGTCTCGGCTCGCAATGGCGCTCCGTGCACTCAGCGCCCTTCTGCTGGTGGGGCTGCCCCTGGCGGCGAAAGGCTTGACCTTCTCGCACAGCCAGGGTGGTGACACCGCCACGTGGGAGCGCCACCTCCATGGCACAGAACTCCACGTTACGGCAGATTGCCCGGCCAACAGGTGGTGCAGCCTTGGTTTCAACAAGGACAAGCCCAAGATGGATGGCACGGATGTCTTCACTTTCGGCCACCATCCTGGCGTGGATCTCTCGGACTGCCACAAGACCACCTGTGGCTGTGGCTGCGGCACATCCTGTGGCTGCGGTAGTTGTGGGGGCAACAACACCGGCTGCGGCGGTCGCCGGCTGCGAAGCCGCAAGACCTCCCCGACTCCTTCTCCGTTCCTTCCCTATGAGCGCGAGCTGAAGGTCTGGCTGCCCGCTCCCCCGACGCAGCTGCGTGCAGCCGGTGCGCCACAGAACCCGAAGGCCTTGGGTGGCGTGGTGGGCATTGCCTTGAACTCCGTGCTCTTCGTCCACGAGCACCCAGGCGAGGGCATGACTTGGGTTATTGACAACTGCGGGGGTCACGGCGACACCTTCGGCCACTACCACTACCACGCTCCTCCCCTCTGTCTCCTTCGTTCTCTAGGTGTGCCGGTCCCGAAGGGTGCATGGTGGAAATCAGGTGGCGCGGAGCAGTGGGCATCTCATGGCCCAGAAGTGCAGATCGGCTGGGCCATGGATGGCGCCCCCATCATGGCCCCCTTCAAGGGTGGCGTGCAGGTAAAGAAGGAGCAGCCGCAAAATCGAAAGTGCGTCACCTTAGCAGGTCCGGCATGTCCTGCATGTTGAAATGCATGACATGGTATGACCGGAAGGAGATGTTGGACGAGTGTCATGGTGCCGTCGACCCTGTCACCAGAGAGTACAAGTACTACATGGCCCACGGCTCAGAGTGCTGCAGCTCAAAAACAGTCAACAGTGGAACTCTGACCTTTTTGATCTTTTGTCACTGCTCGTCGCAGAGGTCTTGGCCCCTCCTTTCTTGCCGCCTTGCCTCCGTGGTGAAGCTCTGGGCGAGGTAAAAGGCTACCGGAACTCCAAGGGAGGAGTGCCCTGCGAACAGTCCCAGCGCTTGCCGCTCGCTCGCACATCGTTGAGGAGCTCTTCTAGGAGGGCCCTGAGATTTTTCTTGAGCAGTACAGTCACAAAGAGTCACACACGCACACGCACATGTATCGTCGGAGTCAGGATTGAAGAGCCTCTGGCCTCGCAGCTCGAGCCGTCGGGTGGACGCTGGCTCAGCGGCATCGGATGCCCCAGGCATGCGATCTTCGAGGATGTGAAGACAGGGCGCCCCAAGGGATGGAAGCCGAAGTCGCAGAAGCTCACCAAGCGCCGGCTGAGCGGCTGCGGGGGCAAGTATGGCACCTGCCCTAGCGGCGGCGCCTGTGGTGCCTGTGGTGCCTGTGGCGCCTGCGGTGCATGCGGCGGCTCGTTCCCATGTTATTGCGGCGCTTGTGGCGCTACTGCATGTGGAGCATGTGGCACCACCGCTTGCGGAGCCTGTGGCGCTGCCGGCGCTGCTGCCTGTGGAGCCTGCGGTACCACTGCATGCGGAGCCTGTGGAGCATGCGGTGCCACCGCTTGCGGAGCTTGTGGAGCATGCGGCGCCACAGCCTGCGGAGCTTGTGGAGCATGTGGCGCAACAGCTTGTGGCGCTTGTGGCGCATGCGGTGCCGCCGCTTGCGGAGCATGCGGAGCATGCGGTGCCACCGCTTGCGGCGCCTGTGGAGCATGCGGTGCCACAGCCTGCGGAGCTTGTGGAGCATGCGGCGCCGCAGCTTGTGGAGCATGCGGAGCCACTGCATGCGGCGGCTGCGGTGGTTGTGGGGCTTACCAATGTCTCGGCCAGATGTTCTGCGCGATGAATCTCACGGTGATGAACGGTGCCACGCCCGTGAGCATTTCCCAATGCAACCTGCCCGGGTACACGATCGTGATCGATTCAAAGCAGGATCTGACCGAGGTGTCTTACGACATCTCGGGCGGTCGCATGAAGGCTGATTTCCATCGCAAGCTGAACACGGGCGATTGCACGGACTTGGTTCTGACCGCAGACACCCCGCTCTACATCATCATGGCCATGGGTGCCAAGGACAACCTGAATGTGGTGGCGCATGGCTACTCAGAGACACACAACGTTGTTTGCATGGGCACGATGATGGAGACGATCGAGTGCAAGCCGCCGAGCGAATGGGCTGATCAGCCGCCGACCCTGCTCGGGCTGCTCGACAGCCAAACCTCCTCTGCACCGTTGGGCCCGGGCTTGGGATTGGCAGGCCTTTCCTTGGCCATTTTGCTGAGGTAGTCCAGGATTCGACAAGATTTTGGGGGGCCGGCTACATCAGCACCGTCGACACGTTTCGATAGTCCACCATCTGACAGTCTGAAGCCGCTGGCCTCCATATCCGTAGCTGTGCAGAGGGTCGCTTTTTGCGGCCGGCTTGGTAGCGGTGCGCCCTTTTAGCTGCAAAATGCACGACGGCGGCGAAACCAGTTACCTTCGCGACCCGAGTCTTTTGACTTACATGTTGAATTAAATCAAAAGCTTCTTGGGGTCCTGTAGTGTAGAACCCAGGGCATTCCCAGGAGCTGTTTGGGAGTTTCCCGGATTGTCGGCTAGACAAGTGGGACTCTCCGCACCCTTGCATGCGATTGAGAGGGATTGTCGGATGGACAAGCCTGCCCCAATGGCAATGCGAGTTTCAACAGAGCGCCCCAGCATGCGGCGGATTGGGCACTGCAGCCGCGTCATGGCCGATCCCACTTCCTCCTAGTACTGGAGGGCTTCAGGACACAGCCTGTTACGACTCTCCTGCGAGACGTGTGGGCCAGGAAGCCTTCTGCATCGCAGCTCCCGGCTCAGCAGAAAGGAGCCGCAGGGCAAGGGCGGGTGGAGTGGTGAGACTTGGTGCCAGGTACTGTAGCTGCATACAGTTGTTGGCAAAGTTGCAGTTCGATTGCTGTCTCGCAGGCATTCGCAGACCACCGTTGAGGCCGTAGCAGTCTGGTCTGGGATGAGGCGGCGGTCTTGGCGATCTTGGCAGTCGTGTCGGCATGGATGTTGGGAAACTACCGGTGCAGTGACTTTCTGATTGCACAAAGCCCTGTAGTATCCTGGGCTCAAAGCAGTTGGGGGAGGGTTGTTGTCTCGGCTCGCAATGGCGCTCCGTGCACTCAGCGCCCTTCTGCTGGTGGGGCTGCCCCTGGCGGCGAAAGGCTTGACCTTCTCGCACAGCCAGGGGGGTGACACCGCCACGTGGGAGCTCCACCTCCATGGCACAGAACTCCACGTTACGGCAGATTGCCCGGCCAACAGGTGGTGCAGCCTTGGTTTCAACAAGGACAAGCCCAAGATGGATGGCACGGATGTCTTCACTTTCGGCCACCATCCTGGCGTGGATCTCTCGGACTGCCACAAGACCACCTGTGGCTGTGGCTGCGGCACATCCTGTGGCTGCGGCTGCGGCACATCCTGTGGCTGCGGCTGCGGCACATCCTCTGCCACCTGTGGTCGCAAGCTGCGAAGCCGCAAGACCTCCCCAACTCCTTCTCCGTTCCTTCCCTATGAGCGCGAGCTGAAGGTCTGGCTGCCCGCTCCCCCGACGCAGCTGCGTGCAGCCGGTGCGCCACAGAACCCGAAGGCCTTGGGTGGCGTGGTGGGCATTGCCTTGAACTCCGTGCTCTTCGTCCACGAGCACCCAGGCGAGGGCATGACTTGGGTTATTGACAACTGCGGGGGTCACGGCGACACCTTCGGCCACTACCACTACCACGCTCCTCCCCTCTGTCTCCTTCGTTCTCTAGGTGTGCCGGTCCCGAAGGGTGCATGGTGGAAATCGGGTGGCGCGGAGCAGTGGGCATCTCATGGCCCAGAAGTGCAGATCGGCTGGGCCATGGATGGCGCCCCCATCATGGCCCCCTTCAAGGGTGGCGTGCAGGTAAAGAAGGAGCAGCCGCAAAATCGAAAGTGTGTCACCTTAGCAGGTCCGGCATGTCCTGCATGTTGAAGTGGATGACATGGTATGACCGGAAGGAGATGTTGGACGAGTGTCATGGTACCGTCGACCCTGTCACCAGAGAGTACAAGTACTACATGGCCCACGGCTCAGAGTGCTGCAGCTCAAAAACAGTCAACAGTGGAACTCTGACCTTTTTGATCTTTTGTCACTGCTCGTCGCAGAGGTCTTGGCCCCTCCTTTCTTGCCGCCTTGCCTCCGTGGTGAAGCTCTGGGCGAGGTAAAAGGCTACCGGAACTCCAAGGGAGGAGTGCCCTGCGAACAGTCCCAGCGCTTGCCGCTCGCTCGCACATCGTTGAGGAGCTCTTCTAGGAGGGCCCTGAGATTTTCTTGAGCAGAACAGTCACAAAGAGTCACACACGCACACACCCACACACGCACACACGCACACGCACATGTATCGTCGGAGTCAGGATTGAAGAGCCTCTGGCCTCGCAGCTCGAGCCGTCGGGTGGACGCTGGCTCCGCGGCATCGGATGCCCCAGGCATGCGATCTTCGAGGATGTGAAGACAGGGCGCCCCAAGGGATGGAAGCTGAAGTCGCAGAAGCTCACCAAGCGCCGGCTGAGCG